TTGACATTATTTTGAAAATTAATTTTAGATTTTTACCATTTTTTTCAACTTTAAAGGATTGTAAAAATTAAAAAAAAACATATTTTGACTTGATCGAAGTAGGGGCTATAGCCACAAATATTCTGAAGATGTGTGCACAAGCCCGAATTGATTGGTTAATTGGTTTTCGAGATATTATGGGTACCCAATTTGAAAAACGTGGTTTCGAGAAAAATGGGTTTAAAGTTTTTTGTACATGATTACATAGATTGAGACCACTCTCTATCAGTGCTATGGCCGGTATTCATAAGTCGGTTTTTATTTCAAAGCCGTCTTAAGTAATGTCTTAAGATGCTAATATGGCTCTATTATTGGCTTGTAACATCTTAAGACTTATACTTAAGACGATCTCAAATATAAGAATCGATAACCGGCCTATAACTTTGTTAATTTTGCGAATCGGGCTAAATCCTTTTGCAGACATATTTTCCATATCGAATACTTGCAAAATATGTAAAAACAAAAAAATCGATTTTTCCGCTAGACTAGAATACCCCTTTCAGAAGAGAATGTTAGGTTCTGATATAACAAATATATATAACAATGGTAAAATAAATGCCTTTAAAAGCCAACGCAATTCTTGTGGCACAAATGATCCTTTAGTGTAGTAGTAAACGTTTCGACTCTTGGATTGAGTTCTCTTCAGTACATATATCTCATTGTCAAACCACCGTAACATAAATTCCAAATTCCATCCGCTTCCTCATTCTTGATAATTTAATCAGTAAATGATCTTGATAATTTAATCAGTACTGATGTGTCAATTTGAATTGAAAAGGTCAATGCTGTAAAAGAAACCCTATACTGTGTATGCTTATAATATAAAATTATAAAGTCAGTATACTAAGTCAACGGATTAAAAAAGTGAGTATATAAATAAATAATTAAAAGATTTGATAAGTTGTATAAATACTTTGTAAAAACATAAATTAGATTAAGACTTACACAGTAATAAACGAAGGAAGGAGCGAACGTGGCAAGAACGTATGGACAATCTCCATGTTAACGAATGACTGAGGATGACTAGTGAGGATATTCAAGTTTATATACAATATCTCCCCCTTTTTAAAAAAAATGTTTGAGATATGTCCATAATGACATTACAAACTAATCACAACTTTTTAAAATTGCTGATAATGTCGCAATAATATGAATCAAGAAACTCCGTATCACCCTGTAAATTCAAACCTTTTAATTGTTTTTTTATATAAATCATTTCTGAAATTAGCCGTTTGTTAAGGTGAGCTTTCTGATCCATTATTTCAACGTGGTCCCAGATTAGTTTGTAATGTCATTGTAGACACATCTTAAACGTTTTAAAAAAAGGGGTGATATACAAACTTGAATATCCTCACTAGTCATCCTCAGTCATTTATCAACATGGAGACTGTACGTGGAGAACCATACGTTCTTGTCACGTTCGCTCCTTCCTTCGTTTATTACTGTGTAAGTCTTAATCTAATTTATCTTTTTACAAAGGATTTATACAACTTATCAAATCATTTAATTATTTATTTATATACTCACTTTTTTAATCCGTTGACTTAGTATACTGACTTTATAATTTTATATTACAAGACATACACAGTAAAGGGTTTCTTTTACAGCATTGACCTTTTTAATTCAAATTGACATATCAGTTTACTGATTAAATTATCAAGAATAAGGGAGCGGATGGAATTTGGAATTTATGTTACGGCGATTTGACAATGAGATGTATGTACTGAAGAGGACTCAATTCAAGAGTTGAAACGTTTACTACTATAATACAATAAAGGATCATTTGCGCCACAAGAATTGTGTTGGCTCTTAAAGGCATTTATTTTACCATTTATAAGAAGAATATGGCAAAAAAAACACAATTGTGTTTGTGTTTGTGTGTGTGTGTGTGCGCGCGCGCACGCGCCGCATTCAAGTTTGAATTGAATCATTTTTCTCTACAGATCGAAATTTACGTTTGTGATAAGTACAGCCAATCACATTTTTATATATTGTAATCTTATAATAACCCTTGAAACTGGATTATGTCGGAAATTATATTGGAAAGATGTACTTCTTGATTAAAAATAAGCATCTCGCCTTCGGTTTACGTTTCTTATTAAAATACCGCGGAGAAAAGCATGCTTCGATAAAGAAAGAAAAACAGAGAGATAGAGAGAGAAGGAGAGAAGAAAGAATAAACGTGTTTCTTTTCGACTTAATTTCCCCGTTAAAAAGTTCGAGCAAGGAGCGTATGTCAATAAAAAGTGAACGTTATCTCCCGAGCTTACGTTTCCCATTAGCACTGAGTAAAAAACGTCACGGAGATTTTGTCGGCAGCGATCATTCAGAGATACCACTAGGCCGCAGTCCAGTATGACCAGGCGTGGGTCGTGCGCCACGTAATCGGGGGTAATGACCCACCGAAAAGTGTTGAACAGGCTTGCCTTCGGGACGACCGCTTCTTCGACTAGAATGTTGCCCGGGTGTAAGTCACAATGGATGAAGTTGTCCTTAAATATCTATAGTCAAACGTTCACACATTATTTTCTGGTAAAAATTTTTATTAGAATTTCTTTATATACAATTATATGTATAATTTTCAAAATTTTTATGTAAATTTCAAAATTTTTCAGAAATTATATAGTGCACTTCATGTGTAAGTAAACTTTTACCTAAAAGTGTTGTATGAATTGCTTAAGATTTCAAAAATATAATCATGAAAACTTATGAGAGTTTATATTGTATAAAGCCGAAGATAAAAAAAATAAGTATATATTTAATTATATACGTTCCATCCAAGGTATTGAAAGTAATCGTTTAAAACAATTTTTCTTTTTTTAACATTTTTAGCTAAAATTACAAAATATACAAAATTTGTATATACATAAATTTTTAAGGATTTTTCTCGTACTTTTAGATATAAACGTTAATTTTAGTGAGAAAAATTTAATAGTATGAAAAAAATCAATTTTTTAGTTTTAAGTATTAGGAGTGTGATTTAGTTTTGAGGGTTTTGCAAGATAATGACACTAATGTCAATGTTTTCGAAGACATTTCAATCACAGTTATTGTTTCTTAATACTTTAATATTACTTCATGATATTTACTAACAATAAATGCAGTAAACATCGTGTTTATACATCTTAAAAATGGAGCTTCCTAAACAGCATTTGCGACCTCATGTTGCATTATCAGTGAAGCAAATGTTAATAGAAATGGGAAGTCTTACCGCACTCCGCGTATTCTTTAGATATTACTTCATCTGATTATCACTTGTTTAGATCAATGCAACATGCTCTAAAAGATACGCAATTTCATAATTTCGAAGAAGTGAAAAAATTTGAGAAAATTGGATTTTTTTAGAAAAAGAAAAAATATACGCCAAATACATAAAGAATGTCACTTACATTCTTTCTAAAACTAAGAACAATTTTTTTTTATAATTTAAATATACAATTATTAAAAAATTGATTAATCAAAAATAGTCGTGAAATTAATAAAATTATAGTCAAGTTATTAAAAAAAGCCAAGTTATTAAACCAGTCTCATTATTAAAAAAAAAAACTCAAAAAAGTTTATTGTGAAAAACATTTAAAAATTTAAAAAATGGAAAAGTGATAAACTGGATTATAATGAAGAAAAAACTTGGCGTGCTCGGATCGCATTAATTGCATTTATGCTTTTTTATCTAACTATTGCATTCATGTTTGTGTATATCCGCAACTATTGCATGTAATAATGTTTTTATATATGTATATTTATTTGTATTACAAATTTTTCATTTTACTATAAATCATTGGCTGTGAAACATTGCGTTTTCATGCGACCCGGGTACTTTGTCTGACTATTAGTTTCATGTTTGTGTATATTTGCAAATAATTTATATACTATAAAACATG